GCAGGTCTCTGCAGCAGGTTTTGTGTCACGGGTTTCGACAAGGCATCTCACCTCACTTGTCAGGGTGGCTTGTCTGGAAGGCCTTGCGGGTAGTACAGAGGGACTGGGATGCTAAAGGTCTGGGTTCTCCTGCCAGTTTGACCACTGGGTAATCATAAGTAAATCCCTTCCCCTGCCTGTAACACGGGGCAGATGATCCTGCCCTCCTTTGCAAAGCGCTTTGAAATGTACTGCTGCACCATGCTCCATTCGAGCCAGGGGATGCTGGTCGTCACTGCACTCCAGATCCAGCTGTTTCAGCAGCACTTGGGCACCCTTCAGGCCTCCTGCTCCAGTGCCCGGGCTCGCCCTGAAAGCAGGCAGGAGCTAAAGCATCTTTCATCCATCTCGCTTTTCCTTCACCCTCCTGCAAAGTGACATTTTTCTCCTCCGCTGGGAGGTTCACGGTGGAATGTCATTTGCCGTGTGCCGCGTGCTCTGTGTCCGAGAGGATCCTGAATGCTTAACGCCACTGACAGGTATCAAATGCCATCAGGTACTCAACCCTCTGACCTGCATGAACATCCATGTAGAACAAACCTGAGGAGAAACCTCCTACTTTTATTTTTCACTCATTAAGCATCATATCCCACCATGGCACCTCTACCTTGGAGCTGAGAGCCTGGAAAATCAAACACATGCAAGCTTTGGTACACACACATATACACAGAGAGAGAGACTACCAAGGTAATGGGCTATATCAGTCACAAAATGGCATTAAACTGCAGCAAGCAGCCACAACCTTTCCAAAAATCACAGCCAAGGTTCAAAGCCGATCTTCAGAAATCCAGCTGTTAGGATGCTGACTTATCCACTGGCTCTTCCCCTTCCGACACGGATTTGGGGAAAGTTGGGACTGTATGATGGGAACCGATTGGGGTGGGGGGCAGAGTTTGACAATGGCATTCACTTCACCATTTTGGTGACATAATTTTTTGGGGCAGGGAGGGGTTATTTGGGTTTTGGTTTTATTTTATTTTATTTGTCTGGGTCGTTATTCTTTTATTTCCCCACCAACCGTAGGATCCAGTCAACTCCTCCTAATTTTCCCAAGACAACAAGAAGAATGACAATCTTAAGAAAACAACACCCTCCTTTCATGCTTCTATAAATACGTTTCTGATCTTTTAATTTTATTTCTTGTGCTTATCTGTACTGTTGACAGTTACATTGTGTATAATTTTTTTTAATTTGGATTTTTTTTGCGTTGTATAGGGTTTAGTTTATATATATATATA